TAGAATACATTTCTCCTACTTGTTGATGTGTGTGATAATAAATCATTAAATATGAAAACACAATGAGCACAGGAATCATTCATTGATGTACAAGTAACATATTTTTTTCATGCACTATGGATATTCAAAGAATAATCAAAACCTGTAGGTTTATTTGGTGACATTAACTACTTGCAACCTCAATTCGGTTGTGTGTGTTCTGAATAAATCATCTAAAAATTGCATCCTCAATTAAGTGAAATTGAAAATAAAGGTTGCAAGTTTGCCATTATTTGGTTTAGAATGAGTCACACCTGCTCTACGTGAAAACGTATGAATTTATCAATAAGACTCACATAAGTTTCTAATAAGTAGTCCTGTCAGCACCTTAACTTCATGTCTTGTTTGTTGCATTCCTATCTGTCCTCTATCTGCAGTCTGTCCATCATTCCACTCCAACAGATTCACTACAAGCATCATCTTGATGTGTTGCCACAACAACAGGTGCCACCCATCTTTTGCAACATGCATGACTCACTGGGATTTCTTCCTGAACACTTGTTTTTCCTGTGACAGTCCCTTATCCTTTCATCTTGTGTAAGTGGATTTGTGTGTAGGGTTTATGTAATGCATGATAGGAGATACAGTGGAAATGTCTGTTATGTTTTGCATTGTATGGTGTAATGTTTCCAGGTTTTTCGTACTTTCCTGCAAAATCTTAAAAAAAGGTTTAACTGTAAGCACATAGATGACTTGAAAGAGTTGCCTATGTGTAACACCTTAAGATTTTTTCTTTCTCTAAATTCTTTCTTGGTAAATTTTAGAGAATCTTGAAGGTAAGAATGCAAAGATTTGAAACATGCAATTTTAAGCCAAACATGTAAATGCACATACACTGAATGAAGACAACTGTATCTCAACTTGATTAACATACTAGATGTGATTGCTTGTTCTTTATTTATTTATTCATTTTTTTTATATCTAGTCATTTTGAACCATTCACTTTTTATTATTCACTCTTAGGTGTATATATTTTACAAACTTTGAATTTATCACCTAAGATGGAGTAGCTTTTAACAAATAAGCAATTTCACCTTGGGGAACAATAAAGTCTATTCTATTCTATTCTATTCTATTCTATTCTATTCTATTCTATTCTATTCTATTCTATTCTGTTATTAAGTCAGACTAGAGTTGCCCAGCTATAGGTAAGTTAGGATACTTAAAGTTATTTTCAGCTGCTAAATGCTAGAATTTTTAAAACTTTCTTTGAAGTCAGAAATTTACATAATGTTTCCTTGGTATTTATTATCCGTTCTTACTGGCCAGAGCTATGTCCCTCCCAGGCAGTCTTCAGGTTTGATCTATTTGCCTCTACACTCAAAAGCACAGACTTTGTTTTCCTTCAGCCATTTTGTACCTGGAATTAGTGACTAACATATTTAGGATCATTCATTTTGAATGCAGAAGTTCTAACTTTATGGCGGATGTTTCAAGATCTTACTTTAATATTTCTGGAGCGATACATCCCAACATGAAGATGCCATCCCAGCACTTTAAAGTTAGTATGGTATTCTCAGGGTTGCACATTTCCCCAGGTTTACTTCAAGTATGCCAAAAGTCAAATCAATTTTAGTTTTATCAGATCATAGGACATGTCTCCAGAAATTAAGGTCTTTCCCAAATTAAAACCTTGCATTTTGTGTTGCACCTGAGGTAATGTCTTCTTTCTCACTGACTGGTTTTTCAGCCCATATTGGAATCTAATTAACTCTGAATTTCTTACATGTCCTTTACAAATATGGTGGTGATATATTCCTGAACATAACCAAGGGCAGGCTTCCAGAAGGTTTTGAAAGGGGTGACCACATGATGACCTCTGATAATCTGATGTTGATGGCTCATCCAAAATTGCAAACCAAAACTGAACTTTGTGAGTTTTGGGATAGGGTTTGTTTAAAAATGTCAATCTTTGCAAAAAAATAAAAAATAAAAAATAAAAGAAAGAAAGGGAGAAAGAAAGAAAGAAAGATAACTTAAAAATAAGAAAATGTAAAAAAAAAATAGTTGAAGCACCATTCACTTCCATTTTAAACTCACTATCGTAAATAATATTCACCATATGTGATTGTTTGGTGTAGAAACAAAATTGTAGAGGTTTCTTCATCCCCCTTGCGGCGCCACTGGACATAAAATGGACTCAGGAGTTCTTAATGACAAACTAATTGCTTTTATTTGTTTCAGTGCTACAAAGCTTGTTGCGTGAAGATGGAAGCCCCTTGTGCCTCATGATCAAATGCGTTGAATCAGCACAAGACATGTTCTGCTTGACAATACAACAATGGTTGTCGTCGCATGTGGGGGGCTACATAGCTACAACACTGAAGAAATATGCTTGTACATTGAAAAGGTAGGTCTCAGCCTTGTTGTCTGCTTTTTTTAAATACACAATCCTCCTTAAACATTCTGTCCCTGAATAAAAAGTCTGTGAGTTTTTTTCTTTTATTATCTTTTTTTCTGCTCTGCACAGTTTGTTAACATTTCTCTTGCTTCTGCACCTAATTTTATAGAAGAAAAATCACATTTTTGCGCTCATGGTCTGTGGAATTTGCACTTTATGATCTTCTTGAATGCACTTTGAAAGTCTTTGTTAAAATAGGCGTATATTATGGGGTTAAGGAGGGAGTTTGAGTAGCCCAGCCAGTTGATAACGGCACCCAGCCAGTCGGGCATGTAGCAGCTCTCCGCGCAGAAAGGCAGAACTAGCGCCACAATGAAAAACGGCAGCCAGCACACAATGAATGTTCCCATGATGATCCCCAGCGTCTTCACCGTTTTGCGTTCCCTGGAAAGCGCAAGCTTTCTCTTTGCTCCCGAGTTCCTCTCGTTCATGTTCTCATAACCATGAGAGGAGGACTGAGGGGTGTTAGGCAGAGGCAGGTGCGTCTTGGAGTTGCTGATGACTTCTATAATCTCCAGCGACTCGCCCTCCTCTCCGTGCTTCACAGCGCCGTTTACGCACGGGGAACTGGATTTGGACTCGTCGCAGCGCCTCCAGCCTTTTCCGCGCGTCTCTCCATTGCTTTTCTTGTGGAAGATTGCCGGAGACACGGCCAAACACTTGTCCGAAACTTTCGCCGTCTCGGTTTTCTTCACCGTTTTTCGAATCCGAAACCGAGCGGCCCTGAATATTCTGCCGTACAAGACTAGCATGAGGATGAGGGGGATGTAAAAAGCCCCGAAGGTGGAGTAGATGGTGTAGCCTGGATCCTGGCTGATCATGCATGCGTCTGGGTTCGCCCTGTCCTCGGCGCTCCTCCATCCTAACATGGGTGGGATGGATATGGAGAATCCGATCAGCCAAGTTGCGGAAATCAGGAGCGCAGCTCGCTTTGGTGTTCGTTTATTTACATAATCAATGGGGTCTGTTATGGCCCAATACCTGTCCAAGGCGATTGCGCACAGATGCAGAATGGAGGATGTGCAGCACAACACATCCAGGGAGATGAATAAGTCACAGATCTCCTGCCCCAAAGTCCACTTATTTAGAACCTGGTAGAGGGCTGCCATAGGTAAAACCAACACCGACACCATCAGGTCTGTAACGGCCAAAGATCCAATCAGATAGTTTGCCACATTTTGGAGAGATCTCTCCAGGGCGATGGCTGCCACAACGCACGCGTTGCCAAATATGGAGCAGAGGATGAGGGCCCCCAGGAGCAGAGAGGTGATTATCTGGTAAGCAAGCACCAGATCGGGTTGAAGCCTAGACTCCGTGGCGTTGTTTCCCCCGATCCAGTCGGCGACCACGTCCATCCCTTCGGGGTAACCGCCGGTGGCATTGCTGGCGTTGCTGCTCGTTAGAAAATCCATGTCGTCGAACTCAGAGCGCAACTTTTCTACTGCAGCTGGCGATGTGTAAGCGTAAAAAAAATAAAATAATAATAATAATAATAAAAAAAACAAAAAACAGAAGGCAGTCAGCTGCTTACACTGCTGCAGCTGCTGCTGCCGTGTGTTTTATGGTGTCCATCGGAGTTCCTGCTGTCGCTCTCAGGACGCATGACGCGGTGTTTGTGGGTATGCATGAGCGTGTGCATGCGTGCGCGCGTGTTTATGTGTTTGTGTATGTTGGGGTCAGCCCGGGTGTGTGTGTGTGTGTGTCTGTGTGCATGTGTGTGTGTGTGTGTGTGTGCGAGTGAACAGCCAGGTGTGCACTGGTGCTGCGAATAATATGAGCTTGGTGAGTCCGTGAATTCATTTATACCAACTGCTCTACGTACGTCAGACCGGGAGGAGTTCACCCTGGAGTTTTCTGCTGCTGCGCTTCCCAAATGCTTCACTTTTCGCTACTGACAGGAGAAGGACACGCTGTCGTTTCCTTAGGTTTTATTTTAACCGTTATTATTATTATTATTATTATTATTATTATTATTATTATTATTATTATTATTATTATTATTATTATTATTATTAACAGAACTAGCACTTAAAAACTCACTTGCTTGTGAACTACAATCAACCTTATCCGGAAGTATCTTATTTTTGCTATAATCTATTATTTAATTAAACTGAAACAGATGTTTCTGTTTGTGTTTTTTTTTTCTGTCAAAATGCTTCCAAAGGACAAGAAGTGCAAATTCAACGTGCGCAGACAGTGGAAATTGTAGTTCAGGACCAAGAACAGCTCCTTCTACAGGCCAGACAGGAACGATGCTGCCATCTGCTGTTCACTTTTTATCTTGCACCGACTGTTCTTCGGACATTTTCATTTTGGGGGGAATGGTTGGGCTCTCGATGGAGAGGATAGGCTGCTTCTTTTTTTTTATTATTTATTTATTAATTTAGTCGGAATGTTTTTGCTGTTTCTGCGAGCTGAATTTTATGTTCAGAGTGATTTTTACTTCCAAAATAAACCCACAGAACATTAGATTTGTTTCTGCTGTCTGTGTAAGACGTTCCTGCAGTGTCCAGTAATTAAACCATGTCTTCATGTAAATTAAGATAAAGTCATTTAAATTTTTTTCTGTGTTTTATCGAGATTGTGTGTGACAGATCAACACAAAGTAGTGAATAACTGTAAAGTGGGACAAAACGGAAACATGGAATAGGAGCAAAATACATCATGAAGACCATTTCACAGGTCACGGAAATAATACTGGAGAAATTAAAATAGGATTTGTTTGTAGCACAGTAAGTCAAAATGAATTATCCCAATTAGGAAACTGACACTTCAGCCTGAACACATGATCCCTTTTGGATGTAGTGGTGGCAGCATCATGGTAAGAAGAAGCTTTCCGACAATAAGGTTGGATGGAAGTAAAAAGAAGTCAAGCCATGGAGAAAAAAGATGCAGAATACTTAATACTGAGGGAGATGTTCACCATAAAGCAGGGCATATATTCTAAAAATACAGCCAGAGCTAGAATGAATTGATTTGTTTCAAAGTTCTTTCCAGCGCTACAATATCTCAGTCACAGTCAAACTACTACAATGCAAAAAACAATGTCACTAAAGCTGGTTTTGAAAAGAATTGATTCAAAGTTCTGAATACATATACATGCCACTCATAAGAGATTATTTGTAAAAATTGTAAAACCGATTTTCCGTCCAGTCATCTATCACGAGCTACTTTTTGATGGTCTATGACATACAATAATAATACTTGTACTAATAATAATGATGTTACTTTGAAATAAATAATATAATATAAAATAAATAAATTCCATGGTTGTGAATACTTTAGCAAGTCACTATCAAATAGTGAGTGAAAAGCTGATGCAGTGCTATTTACCATTAGACAAAATATGCCTCTGGCTTTTTCACCTCATTTTTGTCAGTCCTGTTGGTCCATAATGGTGAGTTTTCTATAGGTTGAACAGCACTATAGTGAGGCTGCGAACAGAGCAACTATTGTAATGGGGCTCAGCATGAGGACTTTGTCTTTGTCAACAGTGTGGAATGCCCCAGGGGGCTCGGTGGGGTAGGACAGCCCAGACCAGAGAGCTGCACCGCTCATCTGCCCCGAGCTGGAACACTCTCTGTTTCTCTTAAATAAAATGCTTGAAAGTACGTGTAGAAGAAATGGGAAGCAGTAGGAAGAGTAAGTGATGTGTGAGAGAGGGTAAAAGCTGCTTAGTTGGTTGAAGTTCCATCCAATGTGATCTGCTCAATACGGACGGGTTTTAAAGTCCACGATGAGCTCCCGTATGGGAGTGTCCGTCACTGGTGGTGCTAGCAGAAACAGAGGAAATGAGAGTGAAGATCCGAGTGAAGGAAACGGCAGCAACGAGGGTCACAATCAACGGATGAGGCCGACGACATCTTGGCTGAGTGATGCAAATCAAGCTGGACAGCATCTGGCAAAACCTGCCCTGTCCGGAAGAAAGGCACGCAGAAAGACCTGTCCTGAAGACAAACAAGGAAGAAGAGGGGACAGAAACCAAGAAAGGGATGAGGAGAGACGCTTCAGAGGTAAGGACAGAGGTCAAGAACTGTCTAGAAGGATGGAAACAGCATGTGCAGATCAAGTCCAAGATGAACCAAGGAGAGGAACCTCTGAATGCTTTTCTAGTAGTAACTCTGAAATGCAGTTAAAACCCATTTTTGAAGCTGGGGATCCATCAGATCATTCAGAAAGACAACACAAAAGTTCTAGATCGCAAGCTATCAGCTTCACCCAAACTACAACTACCAATTTAAGATCTCAGTCTGGGCGGCCTGCTGTTCAAAGTCGATTTGCTCATCCGCCATCACAAGACCCTTTATCCAGAGATTTAGATCCATTCTGGGCAGAAGTGAGAACAGGGCGACCGTCGCAATACCATTCGACTCAGACGCAAATCTCAGAGTCAGAGGATGAAGAAGAGGAAGATGAGAACAAGGACGCCACTGAAGAAGAAGGCTGTGGCGTGATCGAAGTGACGGGTCGAGCCATGTACTCCACAGAGACACCATCTTGCATCCCTTCAGGAGAGAGGAGGATGAGTAAAAGAGAGAAGAACAGGATTGAAAGTCTGAGAAGGAGGCAGAGGAGGAGGGAGAGATGGAGACCAAGTCAGCAGCCGGAGAGCACACAGGTAAATCTCACTGTGGTTACAGCAATCATACCGCTTATATTAAATGTTCTCACTGTGAGTTCATACGTTTTATGCTCTAAAAATGAATTATTATTATTCAATTCAAATCAATTTCTTCTCTACTGCTATCCCTTTGATGTTACATTCACTCAACATAATTAATTTAGTACTTGTTCAACCTGAAAATAGGAGGTTACACAGAAGTTTGCATCAGTTTTCATGGGCCAGACACACTGACCAGTGAGGACATAGGAATGTCGCCAATGTTATGACTTCAAAATTGGAGGAATTGTTAAATTGCATATTATTGACAAAGCAAACTTTAACACATTATGCTGAAATCTTTATTAAGGCGTTCCAGATTGCTCTACAGAGCCAGTTGAATGTGTGTGCAAGCAGGATGAAAGCCTATGACCAAAACAAAGCAACATCCGCGTGGGCATTGTAGCACAAGGTAGAAATTTTAACTTCTGTGCTTCTCTCCTTTCCACAATGTTTATATTTAGGGATTCACATGAAACTGTCTGTGTCCGTGTGTGTGACTGTGTAAGTTCAATTCAGCCAGACTCCCAACACTTGACAGCTCTGTCTGCACCTAGCTCATTTCAATAGCCATTGTGTTTGTGTGGTTTAAAGTGGGGTTACGTCTGAATTAGCTGCATGATGAGGCTCGGGCAGAGAGCCCTTCAAACCTGGCCAGACAAAAGAACTGGTTCAGTTTTGATTGGTTGCTGCTGATCTGTAGTCACGCTGCCAGACTAAAATTATTCTAACTGTTGTTGCAGTGAAGGCTAACACGATTGGTGGAGTTGAGAAACTTGCAATACCAGTCACATAATTAATAGATCACATATAATGATATTGTTTCAGATGGTGTGGCACCTCAGGTGAGGATGATTTTAAAACAAGAGACTTAGAAGAGATTAATCTGGTATATTAGTGGCTGAATAACTTATATAAAAAATACATACTGTAGTTTGAGTATATCTATTGGGGTAAGAAGTTTTTTTTTTTTTTTTTGTACAAATATCAACATAGTCACATTTATTGGGATCCTTCCTTTTAATACTAATTTCCCAGCACATTTTTTTTAACTGACACTTCAGCTTTTCCTGTAACATTTCACAAGGTTGGAGCAATCAGAGAGAAGAATCTTTGATCCTTCTTCTAGACTGTCAAGTCATCTCTTTTGTTCTTATCCATGCAGCTCACTACAGGTGTTATATAGAATATAGGTTTAGGAAATCAGATTGTTTTGAAAGCAGCTTTTTCGTTTTTTTTGTTTGTTTTTTTTTTTTAATGAAAAGATATGTAATTAAAATGACCTGATTTAGAAAAACCTGTGAATTATTCCATGAACTTTCATGAGGCTGCTCAGGTTCTTTGCAAAAGAGACAGATCTACAGCATGACACATCCTTCACCACGTATTACAGTGAAAAACGTGGTGAAGTTGTCATGATGGCCTTTTCCATAAACTCTTCGTTTCATAGCTGACCCATGCAGTGTTTGTTGCCCAAAAAAGTCCACTTTAGGCTTTAGTTACTGATAAGAGAAGTGCAATGTTTTATTTCAAACATTCTGCCACGACTAAATACTAAATACTTGCAAGTGTCCACTACTTTATATTGTGTCACATAAATCCCAGTAAAATACATTGAAGTTTGTCTTTCTACCTTTTCTACCTGAACTGTGGGTTTTGCTATAGAGGAAGCATACCACTATCATATCCCTTAATTAATAATTTGATCTGATTCCTAAGTTTTATTTGTTCATGAATTTGTTTTATTAGTTGAGATAAATGTGATCAGATATCTGTTTTATTTGATTATGAACCAGCTGTGGCCAACAAAATGCTACGGTGTCATACATCCTGTGTTGTCAGGGAAGAACCTCAGTGTCAGTGATTACTTAAGAGCTGTGTATGCTCAGCGTCCTCTCCTCTCTCGGTGTTAATGACACACCTTGAGAGGCAGAGATGCTGCTACAAGGAAGTCCCTGGAGCTCCCCCTGGGTGAGAAAGCAGCAATTACTGTGGAAACACCCTTAGGCTTTCTTAACACTGAAGCTCAAGGCACATCTCCCATGGGTCTGCAACTGACACATCTTTGTGCAAGAGGTGGAGGCCGAGGTAAATCCCTTTACACGAGGTATAGCTGGGATTTGGAAATGATAGACTCAGTGTGGACTCAAGGGCAAAGACAGAACAACTGACAACTCAGTAGTTTAGGTTTGAATAATTTGACTGGGGAAAATATTTGGTGTGATGCAAGACACATGAACAAACACAGATGATGCAAGAAATCTTAATGCAAACCTGCACTTACAGTCCCTTAATTTTTTTATTTTTTTATTATTAAAACACTAAACACAATGTAGTTGTATATTGTAAATATTCAGCTTGTAGGTGAATTAATTCCGTAACAAAGTCTTGCAGCAATTACAGCTGCAAGTATTATGGGTTATGCCGCTATCAGCTTTGCAGATCTAGATATAGAAATGTTGTGACTCTTCCTCTTTGCAAAATAGATGAATCTCATTCAAAATGGACGGGGAGCATCTGTGAACATCATTTCAAAGTCCTGCCATAGATTCTCAATTGTATATTTGTCTGTGGTTTAACTTGGCCATTCTAACACATTGACATGCTTTTATTTTAACCATCGCCCTGCAGCTCTGGTTCTAAGTTTAATGTCATTGTCATTGGCACAATGTACAATGGGACTTTTCATGGCTTTCTTTCAACAACAGATTCCTCCTCGCAACTCTTTCGTTATTTCTGACCAGTCTGAAGTTTCCCTTGATTTTCAAGTTGTTTGAATACTATTACAAGGAATTGTATAAGTGATAAATTTACAGATTAATTTAAATTGTGTGGTTTATTCTGGAATTAGATATCATTCCAGCATTTTTTTTCTGTTTTCTATAAACCAAGTTCAAATAAAAGCCAGTATTTATATCAAATAATTCTCTCCCACAAATGTTTGTACTTTACAATAAGATGTAATAAAATGCAGATAAAGAGATAGTTCAGCTCCTTGAACTAACTCTTAAACACATGTCTACTCACACATATTATTATATGGCAAAGAAGATTAACACTCATCAAAAAGGGTGATAAAGAGAGAAAGACTTTCACAAGCGGTTGGCAAAATATGGTGAAATATTTATCACCAGTTGGTGCAATATTGTCTTGCAGAGGGAATGTCTTGTGTGTTTGGAATTACATATTTACTACAACTGTTTAAACTTTACCTTTAATAACATAAAGTTACCTAATTTTTAAAGTGCAATCAGTAATACTTTTATAACAAATTTATATCAGTAATGATTTCTTGGTTAATGTCAAGTTGTCATAACAAAGACATTTTGAATAATGTCAACTTTGTATTAAAAGTGTCATAATTTACCGAATGACACTTTATTTATGACACAGTCATAAATATTCATGAAGGCTTATTCATGTTCATGACAGGTGTTATGTCATGTTTATGACAGTGTCATGACAGTCTTATTCAACCCCCTTCAAATAAAGTGTTACCGAAACGGCTCTATATGGCAGAGTTGAAATATTTCAAACTTTGAATGATTTTCAAAAAAAAACAAAAAACTGAATTCCTTGTCTGGACCTGAAGATTAGAAGAATCTCAAAGAGATGCTTGAAGTATCAATGTCTGGGTTACTGTATGCCATGACCATGTTGCTTTAAATATGAGGCAAAAATAGTTCAGTCAAAAAAAAAAAAAAAAAAAACCTGCAGTAATTCATTATAAAATGTTGTAGAAATGTATATTTTCTGTTAACATTGGTATTTAATTTCCATGCATAAAAAGCAGGACACAACGTGAAAACTATATGCACTATATGCTCAATTCTGAAATACTTACACAGATTCACAATAGCAGCAAGTTTGCTTTCACACATAAAAAAGATGTTTGCGTACATATCATGGGATACTGACTTAATTATCAAGAAACATATATTTTTTTTACCGTCTCCTTTTATTTCAGAGTTCAACAGAGACCCCCACTACCACCAGCAGCTGCAGCAGCACTGAGGATGAAGAAACTCTGAGCATGAGGGACAAAGAAGGTTTCATATGTGCCGTGTGCTTGGATGTGTACTTCAGTCCTTACATGTGCCACCCATGCAACCACATCTTCTGCGAGCCCTGTCTGAGGACACTTGCAAAGAACAACCCCACCAACACCCCCTGCCCCCTCTGCAGAACCATCATCACTCATGTCTTCTTCCAAAAGGGTGAGTCAGTAGTAAAAAAACATCCATGTTTAAAGCAATAAGATTTGTAAGCATTATTTAATTTACCTGTGCATCAAAAGTAACGCGATCGAAATACGGCATTAAATATGTTGTGACTGAATTTTTAGTGGTTTGTTTGCTGTTAGTTATACAGATTAGTTCTCTGAGCTGCTGATTGTTCAGGGGGGCCCAGCTGCACATGTCCTGCAGGGAGCAGGGTGGACCTTTTGTTCAGCTCACGCCAGATGAGTCACAGAGGCCGAGAGGACAAAATCAAACACAATCCAAACACTTTCATTTGATCCACTCCAGATATAAGAAGTGGTGTTCCTGTTTGGTAGGAAAATAACCCCTGTGATAGAGTGAAAACAGATGAATCAGGATGTTTTTTTTGTACTATGCTGTAATATTTTAATACACATTAATTTCATGCTATTCATACTTATTATTTTGTCTAATAGACAAACTCAGAACAATACATAATTGTGAAGTGAAAGGAAAATGATCAAAAAAAACCGTTCATTGTTTTTTCATTTGTTTTTATTTTTTTTGGAAAATAAAAATCCGGAAAGTAAGACTTTATGCCCACTATCTTTGCTAATATACACTCTGAAGTTTTTGCCAATTTTTCTTTATGAATCTCTCCAATTCAAGTCACAATGATTTGTGAACTTATGGGTAGTTCACAAATCAACTAATAAGGTTTCTTTATAAGTTGTCTTTATTCCTGACCAATTGGTTATGTTCTTTAAACATAATGATGATTCAATACTTTTGCATGACACTACACAGTGAAATTCATGGGTTATTTACTCATTAAGTGACTTCTGAGGGTAATTTGATTTTGTTTAAGGATATAAGACTGATGTCTCCAACCCTAGTCCTCAATGTCTTTAAATGCAAGCCCGCTCTAACACACCTGAATCAAATGAATGGCTTGTTGCCAGGCCTTTGCCAAACTTAATGGCATGCTGAAAAAGAGGTAATTCAATAATTTGAATCAGCTGTGTTGGAGAATGAATGAATCTAAAACCTGCAGGACGTTAGAGCTTGATGACAACGACTCCTGTTATAAGGGTAAAAGGCTTTGAAAAGATATGCATGCTTCAATTTTATATTTTATTTGCTCTATGCTCTATCTTGTGCTGATCTATCACATAATATCACAATAAAATTAATTTGCATTTGTGATTTCAATGTATTTTCTGTGATTTATGTAAAGGTTAGGGGTACACACACTATTCCAAGGCACTGCGTGTATCCTGCTCGGCGACCAATGAAGTAGATGAAATTTCATGTGAACTAAATAAAGATTTCATCCTATATGATATGACTCTGACAAAAATATGAATAAGTAATGAACTTCATGATTCAGACTGGCCTACTTTTGGATATAAAGTATGAGCGGCATGGACAAGATGGCTGCTAGGACTGCAGAAACAAAAGCTCTTGTAAATAATAAGATGAGAAGGACTTGAGATTGTGTTGATTGTTTAAGTCAAGGTCACACTGAGGCCAGTGAGGCTAAAACTGTTTCTTTCCAACATGGCACACAAATCAGACTACAAAGAAATGAAGCTGTCTGTAAGATGATCACTTATTATATTATTATTGTGTGTGTGTGTTTTTTTTTTTTTTTTAGAGCTGAACCAAACAGCAAAAACATTCTTCCCCAAGGAATACCTTTCCAGAAAGCAAAACTTTCAGAGAGCACCTTGCTCAAAGTGGCCTCTCCCAAGCTGCAGGAAACTCTTCCGCATCTTTCGAGGCAAGCTTTTTTTTTCTCTCATTTGTTTAACTAACTTTTATTAATAATTTGGAAAATGCCAACAACTTTCACACATGGAATCAAATGTCGAAAACTTAACTGGCATAAATTATTACACAATACTTACTAAAGTAGGTGTATATTTTTACTGGATACAAAATTCAGTTATGTAAATCACGTTGCTAGTGTTTTACAATAAGCTTACATGAATTTTGTTTCATAAACAAGGTTTCCAAAGGCAGACAACCCCAAGTGTGAGACGCCAGTTCCCCCATGGAGGAGGATTCCCACTCGACACCATCGACTTCGAGGATGACTCTAGAGGCTGGCGTTTCGACATGGACATGGTCATAATCTACATCTACTCCGTCAACTGGGTTATTGGATTTTTTATATTCTGCTTCCTTTGCTATTTATTCTTTCCTTCCTTTTGACAATCTTGCCAACTGTGACGGAACGACACAGAAATGCAGCACGCTGAAGACTGAAGAGGAGAAAGTTATTATTTAAAGACGCATCAAATTTGTTTTGGAAGAAGGAAGACCTGAGCAATCAATTTTAGCGAGAAGCCAATGACTGAACTTCAAGTAGGTGCAAAAATAAGAACTTAAAAAGAGCAAATTGTGTAGATGAGACATTTTGAACTTAAATGTCCTGTATTCTGACTTCATCTGACCCACACACAGGGAAGCAAAGCAAAGTTAATAAATCATTCAGGCTGCAGTGTTTATTTTTGACCTGATTCAGTTATTGTTTAGACCAAATTGGTAGTTGTAGTTGTTCAAAACTAAACATTGATTTCAATTAGAAAATACTTTAAAAATGCAACATCAATATTTTGTCCATATGTAAAACCTAATAAAGGAAAGTTTTTTTGTTAATTACCAAAGTTTTTTTTTTGTTGTTCTTTTATTTTGGAGGCCTGAGGGATAGGAGAGAAAGTGCTATAACATATAGCACTGTCCGTATTAATTGGTGTAAGACGTTTTTATGTTTACCTTTTAACGTAGCAGCATATTTTCACAGTGCAAAATGAAGAAAAAATCTAACCTGAACACATATATTCAGTGAAGAAAAAATACAGTACATTAAGAAATTGTTGTTTTAACTAAATCAGAGTTGCCTTATGTATTATCACTCCTTCAGTTTCATAGAAAACAGAAATTATGCTTTTATTTTTCAAGTCGATCAAGAGTTCTTAAAACATTTAATTAGTAATCGATAATTCAGGATCCAAATGGAGTAAAAAATAAATTATTAAAACCTATCACTGCAGAACTGCAACAAAGATCTTGGGGTCATAAACTTTCAAATAACAACCATAAGACAGTTTCACCATGCCAACCAGTTGTTGGGACTGATGTCTGGGGAAAAAAAGTCCTATCATCATTAACATAAACATGCTGAGTTTGCTAAATGCAGCAGGAAATCTCATACGAATTTGCTGTGGTTTGATACAACCAAGATTTTAAAAAAGGAGAAAAGGAGTAAAAAGATGGAGAGACATCTAAAGCCAATGCTTTGGAAAGCGGGTTAGAAGACATGGGATTATAGACTACTTGAAATACAAAGACTTTTAAAATAAAAATAAAATGAATATTGTTCATAGGTTATTTTATTCGGATAGTTTTATGAAATATTTTTTTAGTAAATACCAAACTTTTTCACTTGATGTATAATCACTCTTCCTTCATGCACATTCTAGTCTCTCGCCCTATAAAAGCTGTGGGTTGAGCTGAAGAGGATGTATTAGGATGATCTACAGAGGTTGCATGAAGACCAGTAGTTAGAGATTCCTCCCTTTGTTAGTTCCAGACCATCAAAAATAACAGTTGTAAGGACTAAGTGCTGTTGTAAACTGGTTGTACTTAAATACAACAAATATATTCTAACGAGTTGGTATTTCATTTGGAAAATGTATTGTTTATTTATTCTATCAGTGTTGAGCTCTCACTGAAACCAGTTGAACATGATATAGATGCATGATACATTAACAGCAGGTATGCACATGAGTAGGGTTAAGGTTTTTTTGAGCTATTGATAAATGAAGAATTGCATCAAATGTATCTTTTAGGATGTAAAATTAGATATGTAAACTGGAAATCTTGACTGCTTAGAGGTTTAACTTTCTGGTTGTGTTTTGACTATGAATTCATGCATGTAATCTTTGCAGTAATACCAGACCTCTCAACGAGTTTAAATTAAAACATACTGTATTTAAAGAAGATCTATTTAGTATTTAAATGAATTAAGGAATTATGACCCATGACGTAAAGTTGCTTCATAATGACTTTATATGATGCATCATTAGAGTTAAAAGCTCTTCAGAGTCCTCATCTTTAATAAAACACTTAAAAGGTAGTAGCCTGTATGAGCAATATTTAAAACGAGCAGATGTCTATTAGTCAGTTAATAAATTATGTATATATATTTTTAATTTATCATATTAAAATGGCAAGGTGTCAGGCTGTTTTGGAGTATGGAGACAGACATCTTTGTGTATTTTTACTAATGCAAATACATTTATCTGTATGACTGCAGTTGCCTCATACTTGAGAAAGCATTGTACTCGTTGGCCTAATATATGATGTGTTTGCTCACCCGCTTCGGATGTTATCATCCCATAGAATGGCGATTATCAGTGGTTATCAGCCCCATTGAATGGCCTCAGTTGGTCCCTGATCTGCCTGCTATCAGGCCCAGTAGGATGTTATCAACCATTCGTATCGGTGATCACAGCCGGCTAATAGAACCTTTTTTTTTTTTTTTTTTTTACCTTTTTTTAAAAACCTTTATTTACAATTTATCTGCTAATTTGAACAAGATATTAAGAATTTGCTAAAAATACAAAAGCCAAACGTATCCGTCATAAGATTTTAATTTGGTATTTAAAAACAACTCACTAAAATCTAAAACCGGAGATTTTTTTTTTGTTTTTTTTTGTTAGCTTTTTTAAAACCTATAATTTCAATCTGCCTTCTATTTCTTTGGATTTTTTTTCCAATAATTCACTCAAAATAAATGCCAAAATGTAACGGTGATAAGACTAGGTTAATTTTATTTGATCTTTATAAGACCTGTTCTCTCAATACATGCCGTGTTTTTATCTTCCGCTCGTGCAAGTCATAAAT